TTATTATTTACTAATAATTTTATACCCGCAAGAGCTGATTGCTCGCAAAAACTGAAAACCCGTGATATTTCTAGTTAATGCTAACTTAATCATAATGATAAAGTGCTTTTGACCAACTTTATCCTAAAACTTAATAGCTTATTTCATCGATTAGAGAATAATCATAAGTATTAACTAAATATTATACATTTTGTTATTGCATATTTATTGAATATTTCAATGATTTTTAGTGCATATTATATGGCATATTTTGATACTTATTAGTGCATTCAAATCTGGGTTCTACAGATAATCATAAATCATGCATGTAGATGAAGATAAATCTTTTTAAAAACAAAGATTTAAAACAGATTTTAATGTAATACAATATTAAAATGTATGATACATATACAAATAACAATTAATATTTTGAATAAAGCCTTCTCACTACAAGTATATACAAAATAATAAACAGGACCATCATTAATCATTAATTAATTTATTTATCCTTTTTTTTCATACTCTCTTTTTTTTTTTTTTTTTTTTTTATTTTAGAAAATTTACAATCTGTATTACGTAACACAATAAGTAAAATGGTTGACTGACATAACACTATATACATACAAGATGAGGGAAATCATCCAGCGATGGTACCCTCCAGTAATTTAATTTTTTTTTTTATATACCTACATTAATTTAATAGGTCACGACACCAATTTCTTTTGAGTCGGCGTGGTGGGTTGTCAGGAAGAGTACGTGATGCTAGGTGAGTGACTAAAGGATTGGGAAGGTGTTGCAGTTTAGAGTGAAATCTTTTATAGTACAATTTAGCTAGTTGGTCAACTGTTCATACCATCTAAAATTGGATTTATAATTTTTTTGAAACCAGTATCATTTAGTACACTACCTATATGGTCGTCCATCTACAGTGACTAAATCTACACAAGTGCTTATTAAAGTTTTCATATTAATGTTAACTTTAACCTCTGCGTATTATAAAAGGTATACGGAAAAAAAACCAAAGTGATAATATAATCAAATTTTTTTGAAACAAAAGATTGAGTTATCTTAGTTGTAGTTCTCAGAATAGCCGGGCAATTAAGTGAACTTTTTTTTGTATATCTCCATGTATAATATTGTATTCCAGCATATTTTAAAGTGTACATATGACCTTTGTGACAAATCTTATCTGCACCCTTATTTGATTTAATAATTTCAATAATTTCCATATTTTACACTATTAAATCCAGAACTTTAAAAAAAAAACAATTTGCAAGACAAGAACACAATACAGTAAACTGTAAACTAGTAAAGTCAAAGTCAGCACAATGATCAATAATGTATTTTTATATGATATTCATTTAGATTCCCTCTATTTCAACTATAAATCTTGACAGATTGACAAATTAACTTGTCAAACTTATCTGATTATATAGTTGAGTTATTTTGATTTTTGAAACCAATATAGTATATGTACAGAAAATTTCTCAACCTAAAATGTATGTAATAGCAAATTAAACTAATATTTTTATATACATAGTGATCGTAACTTATATTCTATCAATCATTTATTTATGCTCATTTCTATACATGTTTCTCAATAAAAGTATAATTATAATTAATTGTATAATATTTGAATGTATATTTAATCAACACATAATTTTTATAATATTGATATATTTTTTATAATATTAACACAGCATAAGGATTGTATATTATATTTTGTGATAATGCTAATTCTCTGATTATATTATCTCTTTGGTTTTTTTTCTTTTGGTTTTTGTCACTGTTGGTTTTTTTATTTTGGTTTTTTTTTCTGTGGTTTTTTTTCCGGGATTCTTATAAAACTATAAAAGTATAAAATATAATTCTTGTTTCAAAACAATGCATTTTTAGTAATTTCTTTCTACTTCACTAGATAGTATTTTTTCTGTTTTGTTTAAGGGTTTCGGTTTTGGTTTGGATCTTTTAAAAATGTAAAATAAAAGTTACAGTTATTTTTGGTTCTTTAATTTTCACAATATTTTAGGTTCTGTAACCGGTTCTTTTCGGTCCGGTCTCAGTCCCTGTTGTAAACTTACATAACTAGTTCACGTAGATCTCAAAATTAAAATTAAAAACTAACACCAACTTATTTTATTTTACATAGCTTAAATTGGTTGCAGTGTATAAATAGTTAGCAGTGAAAAGGATCCATCATACGTTCCTCTTTCGATAGTTTTTCCTCTTGTGTTCAGTTGTGTTTTTTTTCATTTTTAAACTTTCCTCTTAGTGTTGTCTGGTAGGTATTTCTTACAATATTTAATATAATTTTTTAAAGATGACAATTTTACTTACACCACTACCGTTACGGATAGCCCACCATACGTGGTAATGAGCAATAAGTGATTCATCTTGTAAATTTGTTATAAGATATTGTTTATTTACAGAAAATCCACTATTAGACATTAGACACAATTTAATAATAGACAGTCACTGTAGGTACTACATAGACCTCTTACAACGGATGCAGGCACGTAACCAGACATTTTTCTATAAGAGGACCAAATTTTGTTGGCCCTTTTCTGTTTTTTCACCCAACACCACTACTCTTCTTATCTGACAACATCCACAAAAAATTAATACTACATTTCACAATATATTGTCTGTATTGGTTAAGTTTTATATTTTTATTAGGTATATGTTATTATACAATATACATATTAAACAACTATGTAAGGACAAGTCGTCTATTTTTATGGTCCAGAAGTATATACATTAATACCTCCGATATTATAATAAAATATAACATTATATTATACAGAGAGTTAGATAGTACAGATAGTGTGAAATTCGAGTCGGTGTGACGGCGCTAACGTTGGCTCGGTCGGCTGTTGTCACCATTACGTTTGAAACATTACTTCATATGTTTCAATTTCCGTCGTTCTCGTTATTTTGTATAACTTAATGTTTTATATGAGGTCTATCAGTAAATTCGTCGATCATTATTGAAAATGATTCTTTAATTCTTCATCCTATCCATGAGAAGAATAAACCTGACGGACTTTCTCGGAGTAGTACACACACTATAATGTCACAATATTAATATAATGAATAATGATAAAACAAGACGCTTGGATATATGTTTTAAAAGTAAAAAACCTTAATTATGCATTGAAAACTAGCTAGTAGCTACAATATTTTTTAGTCATAAAGTGGCAAATATCTCTAGTTTTTTGATTTACACAAATATTAAAAAGACATTTAACACTGTGTAAGAACCAGGTTATTATGATATATTATTAGAAAATAAATTACCTTAATCGAAATAGTGTCAACGAATTAGTAATTGTCTGCTGGTCACTTTCCCACATGATACGAAAAGAAAATTAACTAAACTGCATGATATTGATAGTTAACTATAAAAAGTTGAGTTACAACAATGACAATTTTAACTTAACATTAACTGTTTGATAAGTATAATATTATACTCACTATCGTTTTCCATTAATTGATCAAATTGTAGAGATTTTTCTTTTCTATATACTCTAATTATATTGTCTCCAACTACTTTTTCTTTGTTGTAAATTATTGTTGGTCCTTTTATCATAAATTCGCCAACTACCTACATATAAAATAATATCATATTATTGTCAACATAACGCAGAACATTGTAGTTCAAATTAAAATATCAATTAGCAATTTACAATTGTGTTTTCTATTTTCTCGTTTGAATGTGTTGTAAAAAAATATTATTTAGATTATATTCATATCGATGCAAAATTATATATTTTTATTTTATATACAAACTTTGTATTATTTCTTCACCGTCTCATTGATGTCGTTTCTGGGTTTTAAACTTTGAGGTGGCCACCTCCTAACAATCCAGTACCCTCGGAAAACGTCACTGAAATCGCCAGAGACGAATATAAAATTCAGATTTACCTGTGTTTATAACTTCCGCTGTAAAACAACGTGAGCAAACATAAAAAAACCACCACAAATTTACTGAAAAACATAGTGAAGTTTTTTATGTAATTTGCGGCCCGGGCATATTTTGTACATACGTAAATTGCGGCCAGGGTATAATTTGTATTAGGTACCTACCCAAATATTTTTTATTTATAAGTAATAATTACGTCTAAGCCTTTTTTTGCAAAATCTGCAATATTTTCCTTCTCATTTTTCAGACTTAGGACATATCATCAATGGCTTTTCTTTTTAAACTATTGTTCAGTTTCTGTCGATTTATTATTTGTTCCGAAATTTTAAAATGACTTGTGATCTTTAAAACTATCTATACAAATATTATTATCATTAAATTTCAAAAAGTGTGCATACCCAGCGCTGAATATCATATTTTAGCATTTTGTGAAAACGAAATTTGAAACCATCAACTACTTTCAACGTTTTATTTCTTTCACTTTTAACAACGTCCAATTTTATTAAATTGAAAAAAAATATTATTATTATCTACATTGATCAATCAAAGATTAATACTTATCTTTAAAT